GGGAAGCGGTGCCCGGTCGTCTCGCTGGGGCCTCGGTCCCCCAGACGGAGACCGGGGCCGTCTTTGCGCACGGCAAGGCCCCTCTCGCCTGGGGCACGGCGCGGGGCCGCTGCGTGAGGGTAGGAGGAAGAACGGGTGGGGAAAAAGTCGGTGCTTCACGAGGAAACAGAAGCGGTCGTGCCTCGGCACATAGGCGTGTGCCAGGTGCCAGGGTGTCTCCGCTGGTGTTGACATAAGCGTAGAGAATAAAAGGGAACAATGCAGCCGGGGAGGGCGAAGTTCAGCGGTGCTGCGGAGCGCGTTACGGTCACCGCCTTGTGAAACTCCTGCCGTCTGCCTGTAGCTGCGTGAGGGGCTTGGACGCCCGTCAGAGTGGGCCAAGTTTTGTATTTAAAGCGCGATTGAAATGTACCGCTCTCCTTTTTCTTCCCCAGGTGAAGAAATTCTTCGGAGTTGGTTGGGTGTTGCCATGTTTCACGGCTGCTTTACAGACTTAACTTACTCGGCGGCGTTTAGTAGCTTATTGGCAAAGCTCTCACTCACAGCTTAACACAGCTAATACTTCCTTCGTATAAAAGTTGGCAGACCCTGACTGCTTCCCCAGTCTGTTTGCTGGAGCAGACGGCTTTCTTTTTAACCGAACACTAAGCAAGTTGAGGGAGAGCCGTCTAGGCTGTTTGCATCTCTGACTGTGACAGTAGTTGCTGTGAAGTATTTCCAAAGAATTATTTTGTTAAAACTCTTGTACTGCTTGCCTTTGGGGGAGCTGGGCAGTAATGACGAAATTAATGTTACTCATAGTGGACCTGGCAACTATAGCTGTATGAGTCATGTGATGAGGGCAGCAGTGTGAGCACTAGCTAGGCTGGAGGTAGCTTTCAGAACCAAAATCTCGATATGGGGGCGTTTGTATCTTTTTGTTTGTTTAAAGACACATATATGTTAGTGGGGATCCTTAACATGTTTTTTGTGACTTAATTCACAGACTTGGCAGTGCACTTTAAAAAACTTCAAAAACCTGTGTAATGCCTAAGACTTAGGAGGAAAGTACTATGAATGTTGAGGTTTTTGAATTATTTTGACTCAGAAATTGACTCTAAACCAATTTGCTTGTATATTTGGGCTCAGAGACTCAGAATACCCTTACATGTAGCATGAACAGCTATTCTTCTCCAGGCAGCTACAGTACAACTTTCTGTTTTCCAGAAAATTAAAGCCTGAAACAAACAGCACAAGTTTTCCATTTTCTAATTGCTGCTTTTCCTAATAACATACAAAATCTTTCCTACTCCAAATACTTTAAAGGGCATGGGAGACGTGACTTCCGTTACATGTAGAGTAGTTTTTGAATCAATCTGGAGGGATTATTGACTAGAAAGTACAAACAATTGGACATTTTTATTGTCTCCCTTTTTAAAAACATTTTTGATAGCAATTTGTGTTTTAATTCATCAGTCACATGCAATGTATTCATTCTTCAGTACTGTTTAGTAATTGTTCAGTTGTTAAAAAGTTCCCAGATTTTGAGTATCCTTTTTTCTAATTATGTTATTGTCCCGTTGCTCTGCAAAAACAGTCATATGATGACTAAGGCATGAAAAGTAATCCTGCGGATTTTGTTGCAGAAGCAGTTAGTGCTAATATGGTCTTGAAACAGCCTGCCTCGATACCTGTGGTGATGTAACTCAGGAGATGATAGGAAGTGGTATTACATTATTCGTTACCTTGGGTTGGGTTTCAGTTTCATTTTTAAAAGAAGTTTAATTTCTGAGAGTAAAGATAGAAAATAGAATTTTGTGTACTTGGTAGCCTGCAAATACAGTGACTGCAGCTTAGAAACTTACAGAAAATTACAGAATTTTAAGCACAGGAGGAGACAGTTTGGGGAAAAATAATGCTACCTGAAAGAAGAAATAGCGTATTGTATTGTCAGAGTTCAGAACTCTGACAGACTTAAAACAAGGTAGGATAGTGAATTTACCTACAGTAAATTCTGGTGGCAGAAATAGCAATGGGAGGGTTTGGGTAGGTTGTTTTTGGTTTGGGGGTTGGGGTGGGGGGTGTGTGTTAATCTATTAAAAACCTGAACTTCTAGAACACAGAACTAGCTGCAGCCTGGAGTTTTCTCAGTTATTTGTCAGTATCCTCTGTTTTTTCAAAATACTGAGTTTCAAAGCCTTCTGTGGAAAGCTGGCTTGCTGTTGAGCTTTTTGGGTGTGATTTTCTTTCTTGTTATGTACCTGTTGTAAGTAGGTGCTCTGGGAGTTGCAGTTTTAAAATACCAGTGTTTTATTTCATTAATAAGGGAATCTGTCAGAGGCCAGATAGTGGTTTTGTCGTTTATGTGATTTTTAGCATATTTTTTTTTTCTATAGGGTATCTTTTAATGAATACTATTGTGGCTACTAGTTATGTTGTGCCATGCCACAGGATCAATGTCCTTGGTTCATTAGCAGTAAGTACAGAATAAGTAACACGTAGTGACTACTTAAAAATATGCGATAGCTACTGCTTTGATGAGCCTTTGGAAATTTGCTTTAGAAACTCTTTTTAGGAGTTCGGTTTTATGGATTAGGTAGAATTCTGCACTGCAAGGCATTTGTTCATCAAGCGTATGTTCTCTTTGACCAAAGAATGGGGATGGGAAAATAAATCTTTTTTGACTTGTCTTTTAAACTGTCTGAGCTACAACTTAAATACTGTGTTACTATCAGTTTCAAGTATATTTGTAAACAGTAGCATATAAAAGAAAGTCAGCCTTTGAGATCTATTTAAAAATCATTTCAGATATCTGAATTTTTGTAATGTACTTGTCCATTACTGACCTAAATTAAACTAATTTTACATATTAGTTTTTCACAAATACTCACTCTGCTGTCTCTTTCTCCTTCTAGGAGTATATTAAGGGACTCTGTGAACCTGAACTAGAAGAAAAGGAGTACTACCCAAAGGACATGCACTGCATCTTTGTTGGTGCACAGAGCCTGTTCCTCAACAGTCTTATTCAGGATACCTGCGCTGATATAGCAGTTCTGGAAATAGGATTGCTCAGTATTAAGGGGGGTGCAGAAGCTGTTGTTATGGCTCAAAGTCATGTTCAGCAGTTGGTGAAGCTTTTTGAGAATAATGAAAGTTTTTTAAGTGACAATGAATCAGAGATTAAAAAGCAATTCAGACAATTTGTGGAAGCACATGCAGATAAATATACAATGGATTTATTGATTTTGCCTAGCTCACTAAAAAGAGAACTCCTAGCTCTCACACAAACTGAATGTTCTGAAGTGGAGAGCACTATCATAGATCTCACAGGTTCTGAAAGCCCAACAGAGCTTTTACCAAACAAAGCCTCCAAAGTAATTGCTACAAACAGAGATGGAAGAGCAGGTGGTGAGGAAGCAAGAAACAGTGCTGGGACACCTGTAACTGAGCTTACAAAGCAAATGGACACTGTGTTTTCCGATGCTCCTGAAACAAGTTTTGTTCCCATAAACATTATGCCTCTGTTAGAGGCAGTGGTGCCTAAAGAAAGGCAGTCATGTAAAAGAAGATCTTCTGATGATGAGGAAAGGCTCCCTAAAAAGCAATTCTCTTTGGAAAATGACCAGGAAGTGAAATCTGCTTCACACAGTAATCCTTCAGACACCAATGCGGTTACTGATCTGCTTTCAGGTAGCTGCAGTGAATCAGATGATCCCAGTTATTGCCTTAAAGAAGGTGATGATATCAGTGAGGAAATGGAATATACAATTCTTGTGAACTTTTTCAGAACAATGGGATATTCCCAAAATATTGTAGAAAAAGTTATTGGTATCCTAGGACAATCTGTGGAACCATTAACATTGCTAGAAGAAATTGAAAAGGAAAATTTAAGATTTCAAAAAGAACATGAACAGTCATCTCAAAAGCCAAGAACTATTAATCCTCGTTTAGGAAGTAATGCAAATAATTCACCAAAGCTAGAAGACAAAAACATTTCTAAGAATAAAAGTCTGCTTAAATCCAGTCATACTTCAAAGGAGACAAAAAATGAAAATCACAAAAAAAGAGATTCACCAAGCACACAAGTTGATGCAGAAGATAAAATGCATATATTCATACGCAAACCTGCTTCTCCTTCCAGTAAAAATTCAGCTGTATGCTATGAACAAAGAGAGATTTATTGCCGTGGTAAGAATCAGAGTTCGAGGTCAAATGATACAGAAACTGATGGTGTTGTAACTTCCAGCACTAGACAAGCTGGAGCCCTAAAAGATGTTGATTTTGTAGCCAGAGGGAGCTCAGAGGTGCAGCGTATCTCAACTAAGACTAAAACTGCAGTTCAGCAAAAATCTGTGAGGCCCTCAACTGTACAGAACAGTCATCCTGATTTTGAGGACCAATTAGGACACTGCAGCTCTTCTCAAGTGAGTTCTCTCAACCAACACCTTTCCCAAACCTCAAATTCTGAAAATCCTATCCCAGATCCGGTATTGTCTTCACAAATACATCCTTCAAATTCTGATAGAGAGACAGTGGGACCACACAGACATCATCCCGATCCTTCAGTTACTGGAGTTCAAAGATTTTTGGAATCTCTGAAAAAGCCGTACAGACTGGAGTTGAAAAATGAACCTGGGAAACCATATTTAAAACATATCATTATTGATGGAAGCAACGTTGCAATTTCGTAAGTATTGTTCTTTTCAGTATTGAGATCAATGAACTTTCAAATGAAATAGGGCCTAAGAGGTTGCTGTGGCACATGTAACATTTTTGCTAGCTAGCTTTTTGGTGACCAGCAGGCCATGTACACAGCAAGGTTTTTCAGCTACTGGTAATGGCTGCATTGGTAAGTTATGGTAAGGGTTGATAATGAAAAATTATGTGAGATTGACAGTAGCCATTTTAATTTCCAACACGTAGTGATTTTGGTAATTTTTATTCTCCATTTAGTGACAGCATTCATTTTTATGACTGATTTGTTTGGAGTTGTTATTCTTTGTTGAGATACTGTGCATAGAAGGAAATTCAGAAGTTTTTAGCGGGTACGCTATATGACACTGCAGTACACAAATCCAGCTAGAACAGTGTGGTTTTGGGATATTCTATTGTGAAACAATTCTTGTAGAATTTACTGCTGGTTTAAAAAAAATTACATAGTGTGAAGTTGAACAGATGCAATAACTGGTTAAAATAGAATAAGGAAAATCCTTGATTTGACTTAAAAATTGATTGGTAATTGCAATACTCTGGAAAATTATTTTCTGTAAAGCCTGTTAAGACTTAGCTTTCCTGCTCCGGTAGAAATTTGGAAATTTGTGAAAATCAATAGCTTGGATTTATGAAGGCCAAATACTAACACAATCTGAGCCAAACTTGAACAGGATAGGCAATGGAAATGAAAACTAGATAGAGGTAGATGAGATCCTTCTTGATAACAACATGTTTCAAAATTAAAACTGAATTAATTCTACAGCATTTCTTACTAGGCAGTGGTCAAATTTGAAGCCCTATTTGTGCCATTTCAGAGCTGCCTACTCTGAATTATCAGAGCTCCAGCTTGATAACACTTCAGTCAGAAGTCATTTCAGTGAGCTCTGCTCTGTTGCAAACAATTTTATGCATGAAAGTTAATTTGCTTTGCACGCACCTACAAAGAAGTTGAGTTACCATCAACTTAAAAGTGTTTTGGTTTTTTACTTTTGCTCTTAGCATCTTGTAATTTTAAAGTGGAGGTTCTTATATAGCAGTAACATATTTGTCCTTCAACAGCATTACACATTAGTGCTTGGGTCCTGTTACTTTTTGCAAATGTAGATAGGCAACAAAGTTATTCCATCCCCCTCCATAAAACTTGAAGAATAGGGAACCACGTGTATGTGTGCACACACCTCATCTCCCATTCCTCCTGATACCTGAAAGAATGTATGCAAACAATAGTAGACAATTATAGGGTTGTTGGATAATTTTAATAGAATGGCTGACAAGGCACCACGCAAACAAATACTATGAAACGAGCACAGTTAATGCTGAAAAGATCAAGACATCCCTTTCACTGACTATGATGCAGGGATTTTCCATTATTGTAAATGTCTTCTAATTCCTTTTTTTTTCTCAACATTTCTGTTGTAGACAACTTTGGAGGGCATTGCCAATTACAATTTTTTTATTATTATTATTTTAAAATCAGTTAGAACCCATATCTCTTTAAAATGTTATATTTCACTTGGTTCATTTTAACATCTGTCTTGACAAAACTATCCTTGAATTGATTGCTCTTCTCTAGTCAGGAAGAGAGTTGGATTTGTTCTTTTTATACTAAGTAATTTTGGCAAGCACGCATGTTGGAAGGTTTTGTCAGTGTTCGCTGTGGGGCTTTTTTGTAGTTCTGGAATATGAAAGTGAGCAATGACAAATGCAGTGTTTCTTCTTAATGAGGAAGTGGTATTTTTTAAGAACAAACTGACTGTTCTCCTGCTCCACTTGTCAATGTACTAAGTAAGAGTAAACTTACTATGAGAACTTGCTGTTGCATTCAGAGTTCCTTTGCTGAACATGCATCAGCCCTTCCAAGTGCAGAAACCAGTTTTCATTCTGAAACCATGCTGCCAGAACCAAAATGGAGTACTTTAAGCAAAACAATAGTAATTCTGAGAAAGATCAGCTGTACCCCCAGGCAAAGTGGGAAAGATTAAGCAATTTAAGTGTTTTTTAAAACACTTAAACTATTTTAAAATATGGATTTTAATATTGGAGATTGGAAACCCTGAAGAAACACATCAGCTACGTTATCTTGCATTTAGTTGTAACTAATCCTTGAATAGGATATCTTTGCATGTGTTCCTGCTAGATCACTTTTTTTTCCCCTGTTCAGAACAAAACATACCTTTTTAAATATGATTAGCTTCAAATGCAGGTTAAGGACCAAGGACCTACTAATATCAAAATGTTTGCAGTTAGTCCAGAAAGTCTCTGTAGCACAGACGAGGCATCAAAAATAAATCTAAGTAACTACTTCTGTTTATGAGAAGGAATGTCAGAAGATTTCTTAATATGTAACCTTTCCTACCAAGTGATCGTTATTTGGAGAAGGTGATGATAATACTTATAAATTTATTTCCCCAGGTTAGAGAGCCCAGAGCTAGTCCCTTTTGACTGGCAACAATAAAACTTTTCAGCTCAATCACTGAAGAATTAATTGAATTAATAGTTTAAGGTTTTCCATCAGTTTATAGTCTTGCTGACTTTGAAGGGGAAGCCTGATATGATCCATAACTCTTGACACTGCTTTAATTCAAGTACAGTGTTTTGTTACAGTAAATAGTTTTTAAAGCAAACTTATGTCCTCATTGCCCAGACTCTGTTATTCAGAAAATAGTGATGTAAAAGTGCAACTCGCAACTGAGTCATAAGCTAACTTGAACTTTTAAAAATGATTTCCCAAGTGACTATTTGTGGAAGAGAAATGCAAATTGTTGGGGTCATATAGAAAATAACAAATAAACCCCATCATCTTTGTCTATTTTTTTTTTTTTTAATGGAGATTATTTTTTTTTCATCCACATATTTCATTTATGGGGGTTTGTGTCTTTGTTTTTTTTTCTAAGAATAACCAAATATATCTGAAACCAATGAATTAAAAGATGGTGAATAAACATCTGCTCATCTCTCTGACAGCTGATAGCTTCAAGACTACTGTAGGCAGTGGTCTCCTAACTTTTTTTGATTGAGCACCCTGTGCTAGTTTTGGCTGGGGTAGAGTTAATTTTCCTCACAGTGTCTAGTGTGGGGCTGTGTTTTGGATTTGTGCTGGAAACAGTGTGGATAACACAGGGATGTTTTCATTCCTGTGGAGCAGTGCTGACACAGAGTCAAGGCCTTTTCTGTTCCTCACCCCACCAGCGAGGAGGCTGGGGGGGGACAACTTTCCTGGGGATGTCTAAGCACCTACCTGCCAATGGGAATGAATTCCTTGTGTTGCTTTGCTTGTGTGCGCGGCTTTTGCTTTACCTACTAAACTGTCTTTTTCTCAACCCACAAGTTTTCTCACTTTTACTCTTCTCTCTCCCATCCCACTGGAGGGGGGGAGTGAACAAGCGGCTGTGTAGGGCTTAGTTGCTAGCTGGTGTTAAATCACAACACATCCCTATCAGTAAAAAAATCTTTGAGCATGCATCCCCAATATATGTGTATTTATCAACTGTATTTGTGCCTTACTGAAGTTCTCATATTTCTTCATGCACCCAATAGATTGTCTTGCACACCAGCTGGGGTGCACACATCCCACATTAGAGTAGGGCAGAGTAGCTGGGTACCATTAACATACAGTCCCCAAATATGGTTAATAACATCTGTCACCTGCTGCTCAACCAAATGAAAACCGCTTATGAAATGCAAGGGACAGAGAACTGCCTCGAAATAGCAGAACCATCAAGATATTTAAATGCCCTACTAAATAATGAATGCATTGGGGCCTGGGTTTTTTGTTGGTTTTTTTTTTAAATGTAGGTATTCTGCAGCTTCCTTCTGGCTA